CACACACACACACACACACACACACACACACACACACACACACACACACACCTTTTACAGCCAGTGATGTGAGTGCAGGACAATAAGTCACATGAAACCATAAGCGTCACTTCAAGCACATCGTCAGGTCTTGTCGTGTGGCCGATAAACAATTTCACTGGTAATTTCATGGCATTTATGGAAATAATTATTAACAAAATTATGACAGAAAAGCAACAGCCTTACTTACTATATATTGTGTATCGCTAAATATTTGAAACAAACTATCCATCCACTCTCTTTCACTTATCCTTGTCTGGGTGCTGAAGCCAATCCCAGCAGGAGGCAGGGAACACCTTGGACAGGTCACCAGTCTGACGCAGGGCTAACACATGAACAGACCACTCATACCGACACCCGTGGGTTCTTTAGAGTTACCAGTTAACCTAACCTGACTAACTGTGTGTCTTTGGAGACGAACACTTTGTTTAAAAAAAGAAAACGGAGGATAAAATTAATATCCAGTGAGAAGAATTCAGTTTGTAGTTTTTATACATTTCCTATGAATCAGACATCAACTGATATAATCCAAGTTACACGTAGAGCTGAAAAGATTTTTGTGTTAATCAGCAAGTCAACAACCCCATTTCTGAAAAAGGCGGGACGGTGTGTAACATATAAATCAAAACGATGAAATCATTTGAAAATGCTTAACACAAAAAAAGTGCAGAAACAAGCTGGCGGGTCAACTTCAAACAGCAGAGCTATTAGTAAGTTGATCCCAGACGTAAAGATCCAGAGGGATTCACTACACTGAAAACCTGCATGAGCACACAGTCCAACAATTATACTGAAGTAAAACAGTTTATGGATTTCATCATCTATGGTACATAATGTCATTAAAAAGATTCAGAGGATCTAAAGACAAAGCTGAGAGCAGTTTGAATGGCTTTCACGTTCAGGCCCTAAAGAAGCACTGCACTTCTAAAATCCACCTTATCACCGTCCTCGCAGGTGGGCAACCTCAACGAGACCTTCCACGAGCCATTATTAGCATCTACGTGTTTTTAAAAGAGATTGATCGTAAATCCAAATTCATGATTTTCCTATTCATCACCCTCCCGCTGCTGTGCGAGCTTACATTCTCCGTTTGTGTTTGTTTGTCACGTTCAGCTGCTGTCACCTATGCATCACTTAACTGCTACCAAAATGAGTATTTACAACACAGTTTTCTTCAAGTCAACATTAAATATGGAAACAAGAACAAAACACGCTCCAAAAACAGGACCGTCAGCTTTTAGAAATTATGGATACCGTGTCATCCATCTGAATATGGGTGATGATTCATGTGGTGAATTCTTTTTCTAATTGTTCACCCAAATCTCAGCAATCAAGGGACAAAACTTAATTCTGTCACACAAAATACTATTTATATTTTTTTAAAGGTCGGGGTTTGTCACCAATGACGTCTCAACGCCCATTTATACCATTTAACATAGTCCTCTTGCTAAAGTGACGTCACATCCACCAGCAGCAGATGTGCTTTAGTGTTGTGTTGCCTGCTCGTGCACCTCTGGGATTTTGTAACCTTGTGTGGGTGATGGGGCTGGCATGGGCTAAAGACGCGAGTGTACACTCACGCCAGCTTTACGACCATTTTAGTGATATTTCTGCAGGAGCTCAGATATTCCCAACTTACAAACGTCGCAACTGTTTGAAAACGAGAAGCCCTCAGAGAGAAACCTCGGCCTCTGCTCAGTGTTTACTTTAAAGCAACAGTGTTGTATTTTCTATATATTCATTTTGGTGTTTTGTGCTCTTTTTAAACGTACAGCAAAAAACGTGTAACGTGCAGGCTTTTGTTCAAACATTTTACTGTACTCAACATTATTTTTTAATGTATTATTTATTCATGGATACGTGTGTAGCATTCACTTTATTGTAAAGCGTGTTCATTTAAATGTTTATTCATGAATATTATGTAAAAAAAGAGGTTTTTTCCAAAATTATTTTATTTTATTCTAGAACATTGTACATGTATTTAAACTGTTATAACCTGTTACTGTAATGTACATTACAAAGTCATAAAATATATAGTCATTATTAAAATCCTTTTATATCCCTGATGTCAGTACCAACAATGGCCAAAAGAAACATATTTTAAACAGTTCTATGCAGCACTATTATGAGCTTGATAGAGGTCCGAAATCTTTCTATATGTTCACAATACACACCAAACTTATAAGAATCATGGTTTCTGATTTATATGGATTTTTGTCTGTTTTTGATCAATAAATCATTAAGATGACATCAAAGACCTCATTTCTGGTTTAAGTTTCTTCTAACTAGCACTGATGCAGAGGCTCGCCTTACTTAACTGCAGCGAGTATGCACATCCTCAGTTGTAGATCATGTCGATGCTTTCGTTCAACACGACCAACATGGAAACCATAACGACATCATTTAGGTGTCACAGAGTTAATGACAAAATATGCAGTTTTTATTTCTCCCAGGTGAAGTTTGCTTGTTTGAGGAAGATGATGCCAAACCACATTACTCACTGTCCTGGAGCATGGCTCTGGGTGCCACACTGGCCTGCAGTCCAGTCGAAATGAACATTTGGGCCATCATCAAACAAAATATCTGATAAATATATGCAGGCCCCAAATTCTGTGACAAACTAAGATCGCTTTACTTTCCTCTAGTTCATATATTTAATTATGAATCCCTTAGGAACAATATTGCTGACACTGACAGTCAATCACAGATAAATTACAACGTGTGAAACAAAGTCGTGCATGCACTTCATATACACTGTCTCCATAACACAATGACTCAATTGAATCTAAGAGCTGAATGTGAACTCATCATAAAAACTGCTGATGTTCTGTTTTAAGGTGAAAAGTGACTGCAGAAATGTGTGCGTTAGTGCATGCAGAAATAATATGAGGAAAATAATCCTGCTTCCTGGTGGGAATATCTGAAAATGCTGCTGGGGGCAAAGATTTCATTTGTGACACTTTGGAAACAAAAGCATTGTCATGATCAGCAGATTGCTCGACAATGAGAGCGCCTGTGTTCCTGCAGATAAACACAATACACCTTAATTACCATGAAGATGATGATCAGCCAGGCCCTCGTTTCTCATGTTTACTGCGTCATGTTAGAACAGGTAAGGAAAATCAAACGGAGAGAAAAGTTCATCTCTTATATTTTTTATCAAAGTCCAAAACATAAACCGAACCGACACCAGTGATATTAATGTTTTGGTTACTGATATGAAAACTGCAACAAATAAATAAATAAACATTCCGCTTTGGGACATTTACCGAAATATGAACTACTTCCTTTGTCATGAATCTGTCATCACTTCCATGAATCATTTCCGTCATAAATCAGTGTGTCACGCACATTCTCCAAACTTCAGAGGAGAATGTTCAGGCCGACATCTGTACAGATGTTTTCTGCCCAAGAGCCCAGAGACGGTGATACACGCCTCACAATGGAGATGCTGAAACAGACAAGTATCTTCAAAACAAGAGGTGATGTGAAAAGCGGAGAACTGATCGCGTCCATTGTTGTTTCTATAAAAGACGAGCTGAGCACAGACGCAAAATGCAGCGATAAAAACAAACCTCAGTCATCTTCCTATGAATATGATTGAATTCACGAAGATGACGCTGTGTACCAACACTTAGTGACCGTTAGTGGAAAAGTGTGAGCCCCGCTGGTCAGCAGCGGACAGTCTGCTGGAAAATCCTCACAACAGTTCAGAAACTTGACAAATCTGCAGTTTTCCTTCAAAATGAGGTGCGCAGTGCTTAAACACCCGAACAAGCCCACTGATGTGGGTTTTCCACGGCCGCAAACTGTGAGCAGACATCATCTCAGTGGGAAGCGGCGGTCTGAGCTGCTGCAGGAGACATTTCACATCTGTTTTCTGGGTTTTTATGAACAACAGGCTCGAAAAAGGGAAACGGTACTCACCGATACTCCGGAAACTCTCTGACAAAGTTCTCCTCAACTTTTTCATTTTGCCCATTTTCTCCGGGGGCTGAGAGGCTGGCATCAGGTCGCACATTATTATCTTTTTCTCTCTCTCCCACCGACTTTGGCAGCGGGCTGGCTGTGGGGCTTCAAGCGGAGGAGGAGGAGGAGGACCGGTGCTCAGGCAGCCCTGCGGGGCTTCTTCAGCCCAGCTGCAACGCGCTGGCGAACACAGGAAACGGAGCCTGAGCGGCTCTCACTGCTCTCATCAACTAGTGAGAACAAATGCCTTCTTGAGACTGACTCAAGAATGCGGCTCCATTTCCACAAGAGGCACAAAAAGTCCGCGCTGGAGCATCCAAAGTGGCAAGCGTGCGTAATTGTCTGCGCACTGGCACAGCGAGCAAACGGAGCTCCTCTTCTCACTTCTTTTTCTTCCCTCAGCGTCCCGCTCGCTCCCAGCTCCGCCACAGTCTACATATCATTTTTTGGGGGATTCTCTCCGGTTTCGACCCTTCAGACCCCGCCCGGGATGCGGAGATTGGAAGGTTCCCGGGAACACCGGCTTTTCATTGGTCTCAGAGAGTGGCTGTCAAGCATCCAGCCCCGCCCTCCAGTGTGTTGCAGGAGGAGGAATATTTGTAGAGTACCGGGCTGCTCTCCGCGCTCCAGCTTGAGACTGCTGCCCTCTACAAGACCCAGGCTCGGAGCGCGGGTCGAGGTGCCCCCCACCCTCGCCCCGCAAAGCATCGGCTTCATCGGGCTTCTTCTTCACCTCAGTCTGGAATATCAGAGCCTCAGATGATGAAGACCGAGTTTGTCTAACTGAGAAAATCAGTGCACACAAATCACCGGGTTTGGTACACGTGTGTTCTTTTGCACTTCTTACATCATTCCTGTGTTACATCATAATAAAAATTCTATAGCTGTGTCACCTATGCTGTCATCCTTTTGTCATCATCATACCATGAAACCATGTCCTCTCTGCAAGCTTTTGTTTTACAAGGACTAAGCTGCTGCTTCTTCTGTCGTCTTCTCCCTTTAGGGGTCGCCACTGCGGATCATCTGCCTCCATCTCACGCTATCCCAGCATCCTCCTCCGCCACACCAACCCATGCCCTAGAAACTGAGCACTTTATAATAGTCAGCAGTCCACTTCAGCCACAATGAAACTCGCAACAGAGCATGATTGAGAGTAAAGCGGGCTGTGGGATTAAAGATACCAGAGCTATTCAGGTCCTGCATCAGTAATCTGAATCCTGCAGCAGTGAGCTCCACACTGTCATGTGTCTTTATGTGTTGCTCAGACCTGATCATGTCTGTACTGCAGAGACTCACAGCAACCATGTGAGCAGGTCAGTGGTCTTTAGGTGTGCCATAACACATGGCAGTGTTTGGCTCTGCAATCATCTCAGGAATGCAGCAGGCTTGAGTGTTTTCATACTGCGGTCTCATTACTTTAACTGGGGCACAGCAATAATGGAAACAAATGTATGGCTTCATTAGTTTAAACTGGTGCTTGATTGTTGTGTGTTTGTAGGCAGCATGCACACCTCTCTGCTGCCCTACAAAAGCAGAACATGTCGGATTAGAAGTGAGTTAAGACCAGAGAGTTCACATCTTAGCTTTCAGTAGAAATGATTTTAAGGAACAGGGTACAGAATGGGAGTACTGTTATTTAGGACACTTTCTACAGGCACTGAAAACAACTAGAAACCAGTGCACTGTGAAAGCAGAAGTGCTACTCTGACAGTCCAGAGTTCATCTCTGATGATGTCAGAGCGCAGATATGTATCAATGAGATTCTTTCCTGGGACAGGTAAAGCTAAATTGCATTTGCCTTATGCAAAAGTGTTAAATGTTGTCACACTTATCAAACCAATCACATACCACCATCTGTTTATAGGCAATTTGTAACTGTAATTTGTAATCTGTAATTTTTGATGTGTAATTTGGAAACCAAGTGGCAACCCCTGAAGTCAAAAGTGAAACCATAGCAGAAGTGACAAAACTCCAGTTCCTCTGTTGGCCTCTGACTCCACAAATGCAAATGCATGTCAGTCCCCACAGACCTGCATAACATACATAACAACTTCCAGTGTTTGTGCCTTTCTGAGTATTTGCAGTGGAATCATCATCCCATTATGGATCATTAGCAGCTATATTCACTTGTAGCAATAACACAGAATTATTAAATGTAACACATTAAGGTTTTTTATGGTATTTTTTTTATTTATTTTTTTACAAATAATACTTATATTTGATAATAACACCTTGTTCAGCCCTGCTAGTTTTAAGACTGAACCTCTGGCCTGTCATGTGAAGTCAATTTATTGAATTCATTTATCAGCTCACATTGATCCATACACAACATGTAACAGCTGGGCATAGTTCCTGGGTCTGAAAGTCTGAGTGGAAGATCCATAGACCTGCATTGTTTTCTAATTACCAGCAGAGGGTTATTCCTACTTCTCACTTGATGTGTGATGTCAGCAACACTTTCTTGATGACTTTATGGTCTCAGTTGCTGTTTTTAAGTTAGCATAATATAGTGTTGATTTTGTAACTCATGGTCTCAAAGCAGGTTTGCTTCATATTAATACCAAGTTGCTCGCTAACAAACGTGCAGTGAAGTCAGATTTATGTCTTGCTAGTCAAATCCAGTTCCACCAACACGGTGATAGCTCAGCTTGATGTTTGACAATGCGACTTCTTCAATCAGTGAGTGACAAGCTAATGGTCACATTACTCTTTTATAATTAGTCCTGTATTTAAAAAAGATGTGACACAGGATTCAAGTTTAGGTGTCTGGAACGGGTTATTCTTTATGAAAACAACACTTTAAAAACTGAAATTCATAAGGAGGTGCTTAATACCGAGCAGCAATCAGTGTACTATCGCTAGCTGAGACAAGCCGGTTAGCAACCCATAGCTAAGCTAACGTACAAATCTCTAAACTTTTTTTTCCTTAATGCTAACTAGTGTAGCCAGCACAGTCAGTAGCCTGCATGATTTTTGGAATTCACATGATATGAGGTAATTTAGGTGTTCAAAGCCCAAACGTACGTGTAAGTCAACTAACAAGGAACATGAACACTCAATCTGTTATTATCATCCAAAGCACAGATTATTACTGGACTCAAAAATGTTACCTGCTAGCTTCAATCAAAGGTTATGAAAGTTTAAAAACCTAAGAAAGCGCTCAAGTAATGAAATGTAGACACTGTTTTGTCTGACAACGGGCGACATCTCACTAATGCTAATAGTTACTCTGTAGTGAAACATGGGGCACCTATATGAAGGAAACTCTGATAAACAAGAACTGATAAACAACTTTATTTCAATGCAATTTTTCAAATGTTTTTCATGCAGTAAATACACTATATAAAGAAGCAAGATTTATTTTGCTTATGTTTATATACGTTAAGTGCTTGAGTCTAAAAAGCATGACTACAGTAACTCAGAACTGACCAGTCGACAGTGTAAATTCTAGTTAACCTTTAGTTAACCTTATTAACCTGGTTGACTTAAAAACTGGAATAGGGGTGGGTGAGTGCTGAGTACTTGGGTGAGTGCTGAGTACTTGTATATGTGTGCATATGCAGTTCACTCTGGCACAGCTGGCTGCCGGCAGAGCCGGCGGGCACACCACTGCAGCCCCCTCTGGCTTCTGCTCCGTGGCTACTGGGTGACCCCTCATCTGGGGCTCTCCTCAGCTCTTCCCAGGAGGGTGGCACGGATGCCCCTCCGGTGGTCCTCCTTGGGCTCTTGCACTCTGGGGCTTCTGGATGTCTGGATGTCTGGGGCCTGGATCTCCTCCATGCCTGCTTCATGCCCTGGGGGACGGTGCTATGGCTCGCTGCATCCTCTAGCAGATCATTACATGTGGAAACCTTTTGAATACAAGCGCGCTGATCCATACAGGTGTGCACACGCGTGTTCACTGTTCATAGACATAAACTACACCTCTATTGGCTGCTATTTCCAAGCACATTGTGTGCTGTTGGTCCTGCTTTCTACAAAACAACATTCAATATTTAGTATTTACTGCTGTTTACACTTAGCTAGATTAACGTGATGGTGTTGTGTTTAGTATGTTGCTCTGGTTTTTTTTGCTTGTTTTCTCTTCTTCTCTCAACAGGTGATCCAGGAGATTTTTTTTCTCCCCCCCTTTCTCACTGTCCCTCTTCCCTTCTGATTTTCTTTTCCTTCCTCTTTCTCTCTCCCTTTCCTATCCCTCAGTCATGTCTGTCCCGTCTGTAACAACTAAAAATAAAATAAAATAAATAATAACAACAAAGGTCGATCAAATGGACCAATACAGCAAGGCCGTGATGATCCATTTGGCAAAGTAAATCCATTGGGTCTCCTTGTTGGTCTTCAGACAACAATTCTGACGGCTAAAGAACCAGGAGGTCAAAAAAGGAAAAAAAAAACTGGAATAGGAAATGTATGTTGACGTAACAATGGATATTTTTAGGATATTTCACTTCACCAATTAGTTTAAGTAACAAAATAAAAACTACTAAAAATGATTTTTTTACACACTAATGTTGACGTAGAAGGAAAGAGTCTCATTTACTTGTTCTGAAAGAAAGTAGGTGTTGTTTTATTCAAGTACTTCAGAAATCGATAGAGGAAAAACAGGTTCCATTCTCCTAAAATACAGCCAAAAGTACAGGTACAAGTACAGTTATAAGCACATTTTATTTTCCTAATTTTCTGGAACAACTGACACAGTTTTTGAAAATGCATTTTGTAAGACAGGTTTAGTCTTTACAAGTTTACATGATTTACATACAAAATGTCACAAAACATTATTCAGTTGGTTTCTTTCCCAAACCAAGCATCAGAATGAATGTGGAAGTGGTTTTTTGTATTTTCACATCTCAGGTGTGAGGCATTAACAGCCTAAACAGGAGCCACAGTGCTTACTGTAGGTTCTGGAGGCCATCAGTTACGACACCTCCTTTTATTCTTTTCTTTTTTTCTTCCACCTGTCCCGTTTGGCTCTTTTGCCATCAGAATTATTGTCTAAAGGCAAAGAAAGATGCCCAACGGATTTACTTTACCAAATGGACCATCCCAGCCTTGCTGTATTGGTCTGTTTGATTCACCTTTGCTTTTATTGTTTATCTTATTTTCACTTGCTCCACACGGGACAGACTTGACTGGGGGAAAGAAAGAGGGAAAGAAAAACAGCGGGGAAGAGGGACGGTGATAAAGGGCAAAAAACAAAAACCAACAAAACAAACAGACAAAAAAATCCAAATATCGATCACCTGGATCACCTGTTGAGAAAGAAAAAAAGAGAAAACAAGCCAAAAAAAAAAGAGCAACATAATAAACAACATCATCGCGATGATCTATGTGAATATAACAGTAAATACTAAATATTGAACATTATTGTGCAGCACGTAAGATCAACAGTGCACAGTGTGCTTTGAGGTAGGAGCCAAAAAGGGTGTAGTTTGTGTGTGTGAGCACCTGTGTGTGCACCTGTGAGCATGGACGCGCTTGTTTTTAAAAGGTTCCTACATGTAATGATCTGCTAGAGCAGACCTTCCCAAACTGTGGGGCCCGCCCCTAGGGGGGGCGCAGAGCCATGGCAGGGGGGGCGCAGGATGAAAAGGGGGAAAAAAACAAAACGCTTGGACACTGCTAGCACAGGCGCCTACAGAAACGCAAAGCAGGAGATGAAGCATCGCTGAATATGTTTCCAAACAAACTTCATTCCAAGCCAAAGACTAGAAAACATGGTGAAGCAAATCTTCCCTTTGGCTTCACCTGCACAGGTGCCGAGGCAGGTCTCCCTGCAGGACTGGTTTCCCCTGCGTCGGGAGCAGCGCTGGGCTGTTTAAATCACAGACAAACAGGATCCCACAGTTTGTTTTCAAAAATACCCGTGTAGGTGCGGACGTAGCGTAAAAGAGTTAGTAGTTTATTTTATTACTACCTGTGATTTATTGCAGGTCACTTGCATTTGCTTAATTGTTTACTAAATGTTTGAGGTGTGAAATAAACCGCAATGGAGCAAAATATGGGTGTGTGTGGTTAGAGGATGTGTGCGTGCATGTGCGTGCGCACGTGTACGTGTGTGTGTGTGTGTGGGGGG